ACTGATGTATTCCAAATTTTGAGAAATCCTTTAAGAAAGAAACTCATACTTTTCTAAACTAATTTAATCTTTTTTTGTATTAACGTCAACTGAGACTTCGAAGAACTGCAGAACACACTTTGAGAAATGCTGGTCCAGAGTCACTGATTTTTAGTTTTAATGTTATTAATTTTTAATAAGTAAATACTTAACTACTAACAAAATTGGGCTGTTTCAAAAATTTTCTAAATATGTAGTCTTTCAACGCACTTTAAAAGTTTTTAAGACATTATGAATTAGATAACCTGAGTTTTAAAAATCATCATTTTGCAAAAGTACTTGCCACAGGGTTTCTTTGTATTTATGCTTCTTATATGGTTGGCTAGGTTATAACTTTAGTACATTCATGCAATATGTTTAATAAAATAGCTGAAAGTGGTCCTTACTTCTAAAAGTAGCATGATTAAATATTACATCGGATTGTTTTAAGGTGAAATACAGTTTGTAGGTATACAATATAAGAACTATTTGTAATCAATTGCTTTCATGTATTTTGAGGGCAATATAAACTTTTAAATGAGCAAGTGACCATGATAAGTGGTGTAAGTACTGCTGTATAGTAGACAGAGTAATAAAATGCAGAGTACGAAAAGTAGAGAACATCTGAAAAAATTTTAGTGAAGCACGTTTTTTTGAGTAAAATAATGTGCTTTATGAAGAAATGCATGTATATAAAAGGGTAATGTGGCATTTGGTTGTTTTCAAGCCTTTAACTAAGATTAAAATTTTATATCTCATCAGTTGAAGTTTGTGACTCATTAAATAGTTTGAAATTTATATTATATAAGCAAATATTTAAGTATTGGTCATCTCATTTTTAATATAGATAACTAAAATTTAGATGCAATTTTTATTATGTAGCCAATATTACAAAAGTATCAGAGAGTCTCATTTATATGTTTAGTGGGAGAAAGCCATATGTCACATGTCTGTAAGCGCGGGCTACTTGAAATATATAGTGTTCTTGTTTCTGGATTTTTTTCTATGTTAGATGAGCATACCTGACTGCTGTGGGCTAATTGTTAATGAATGAACCAGATGTTCTCAAATCTATTCTTAGACAGTTGCCCTCAGTGGTGTTTCTGTCATCCTGTATCTAATTTAAGCTCCTTGGTTTTACTGAAGGATGTGGATCCTAAAAAGACCGATAGCTTCATTTTTATGAACTGTAATAGCCTCCCCTTAATACTCATATTTTCAGTAGACTGACATTTGCCTTCTAAACAATGTTTACTTTCAATATATTCCTTTTTATTCTTTATCCACAATCCTGTATATAATTCTTTGACTTACTTAGGGAAAGCCAAATTGTTCTAGGACTTCAGGGCATATGGCAGGGCTTTCTGAAAGGAAGCAGAGACTAATAAATGAAAGCTATTGTTTAGTAGAAGTTTGGTATCAGAACTGATTATTCTTCAGATTGTGAAGGAGAAGCCTGCAGCAGGAGTATAGTAGCTAAGCGTCAAAGGAAACATTCTGGAGGAACTCAGCTTGAAATAGTAAGAGAAACAAATTAGCAAAGAAAAAAAATTCTTATCCATGTTCAGGGAAAAAAATTGAACTTGAAGTTAGTTTGGCTTGCTTGACTGAGGACTTTCCAGGCAAGGAGAACCAAGAATATGATTTGTCTGCTGAATTGACAGTCTTAGGTTCGGTATCTATTTCATGTTCTAATAATTAGCTGAAATAGAGGGTTTTATGTCTTTTTACTTGTCACCATATGTAGAAGATGAGCATTAAAAGAGACTGATCAGATGATTAAATTTGGGAAAGTATACTTCCTTATCAGAAATTTTGAAAGCAGAACTTGTTTTTCCATCCTAATTAGTCAGTGCTCAGGAATCTGGTGAATACTTGCTCAGAAATTGAATGTATTCAATTTTATTTTTTCATTGTTTTTCTTTTCCGTGTTTATTTATGTATTTTTCTTTTATTGAACGAATTCAATTTTAATTTCCTGACCCTGCCTTTCTTTTTCCCTTCTTTCTTTTTGGCTTCTGTGATTAGCTCAGGGATGGAGGCAGTGGGAATCACTGTAGAAGCCGTAATTCAGGCCTGATTCCCTTGATACCCAAGCATATTGTGCAGGCAGATGCTACTTACACTAAGACTCTGCTAACATTAATTGCTTGTTAAAGACCATTGTTTTGGTTTTTAGATCAACACAACTGCTGATGAAAAGGACCCTTCAAATCCCTTCCGTTTTCCAAATATTGGTGTGGAGAAGTTTCTGGAACTGAATTCTGAGCAGAATCATGATGACTACTGTTTGGCCTATGTCTTCACAGACCGAGATTTTGATGATGGTGTCCTTGGTCTGGCTTGGGTTGGAGCACCTTCAGGTAGTTTATTTAACTGTGTTTTTTGTCTTACTACTTGAAACGAAAAGCAATTCTCAGGGCTGATTGAATTTTATAAAGTATAGGAGAAAGTGACGCTTATATAATATCTTAATTTAACCAGTTTGAGGTAGGCACGATTCATAAGCATATTGTAAATGGAAAAATAGATTAAGCAGCTTTTTGTTTGGGAATGAGTAAATGAGTACTAACGGAGATACCCTGCCATTTGGTGCGTTCAGAGGCTGAAGTAAATAATTTTATGGGAAAAAGTGGTACTTACTTCTGAAACCAAAAAGCAAAGTATCAATTTTTTTCACAAAAGTTAGTATCATTAATTCATTAGTTAATTAATTATTTTGAGTGTTGGGGGATGGGGAGAGGTTCTTAGAGTCAAAAGGGGAAACTTGCTTCTATTCTACAGTGAGATGGAGAGAGACCTTGATCAGGAACAGCAGGTAGAAAGAAAAGCAAAGACTGCCTTTATTATTTTATTTCTAGCCTTTATTTTAACAAAAAGGAAGTATTGCCTGGAAGGAGATATGAGCAGGAGGTCCCAGTACCCCTACCTCCATTTGCCTTACCACATGGGCCCACACTCTGCTGGGGACTCTGCCTTAGCCATGAGCTACTGTCATTGAGAAAGCTGGGACAGGATAGTTCCCCTCCCATTGCAGTGAGGTGGGGGTCTGTGATTTATATTATAATAAATTCAGTAGCCTAGTTTAGAGAAATACAAGTTTATTAACTGTGAGATGAGTAGAAAGAATCCCAGACTCCTGGAATATAAATTTTGCCATACAGAGTTTGATCAGTAGTCTGTCGTCTTCTGAGCTATATATAGCAATTTCTCCTTCTTCTGACCCACCATTTGTATCTTTTTAAAAGAATTAACTTCTGCTTTATCCCGCGTAAGACCTGGATAGGATAGAATGGGAATAGGTATTCCTAGTCTTAGTTTATTCTTTGATTTGTTTTGCATATTTTAACATCTTAGGACTGTATTTCTGCTTTTATATTTCTTACTCTCTGTTTTTTTTTTTGATTTTTTAGCCAGCAATGAATATCCTCTTTACAA